TAACAACTCCTTACTCACCAACAACTCCTTACTCACTAACAAGTCCTTACTTACTAACAACTCCTTACTTACTAACAACTCCTTACTTACTAACAACTCCTTAACTTACTAACAACTCCTTACTTACTAACAACTCCTTACTTACTAACAACTCCTTGCTTACTAACAACTCCTTAACTTACTAACAACTCCTTACTTACTAACTAACAACTCCTTACTTACTAACAACTCCTTACTTACTAACAACTCCTCAACTTACTAACAACTCCTTACTTACTAGCAACTCCTTACTTACTAACAACTCCTTACTTACTAACAAGTCCTTACTTACAACTCCTTACTTACTAACAACTCCTTACTTACTAACAAGTCCTTACTAACAACTCCTTACTCACTAACAACTCCTTACTCACTAACAAGTCCTTACTTACTAACAACTCCTTACTTACTAACAAGTCCTTACTTACTAACAAGTCCTTACTCACTAACAAGTCCTTACTAACAACTCCTTACTTACTAACAACTCCTTACTTACTAACAAGTCCTTACTCACAACTCCTTACTTACTAACAACTCCTTACTTACTAACAAGTCCTTACTTACAACTCCTTACTTACTAACAACTCCTTACTTACTAACAAGTCCTTACTTACAACTCCTTACTTACTAACAACTCCTTACTTACTAACAACTCCTTACTTACTAACAACTCCTTACTTGCAACTCCTTACTTACTAACAACTCCTTACTAACTCCTTACTTACTAACAACTCCTTACTTACTAACAACTCCTTACTTACTGACAACTCCTTGCTTACTAACAACTCCTTACTTACAACTCCTTACTAACTCCTTACTTACTAACAACTCCTAACTCGCTAACAACTCCTTACTTACTAACAACTCCTTACTAACAACTCCTTACTTACTAACAACTCCTTACAAACTCCTTACTTACTAACAACTCCTTACTTACTAACAACTCCTTACCTGCTAACAACTCCTTACTAACAACTCCTTACTTACTAACAACTCCTTACTAACTCCTTACTTACTAACAACTCCTTACTTACTGACAACTCCTTACTTACTAACAACTCCTTACTTACAACGCCTTACTTACTAACAACTCCTTACTAACTCCTTACTTACTAACAACTCCTAACTCGCTAACAACTCCTTACTAACTCCTTACTTATTAACAACTCCTTACTTACTAACAACTCCTTACTTACTAACAACTCCTTACTAACAACTCCTTACTTACTAACAACTCCTTACTTACTAACAACTCCTTACTAACTCCTTACTTACCAACAACTCCTTACTTACCAACAACTCCTTACCTACTAACAACTCCTTACTAACAACACCTTACTAACAACTCCTTACTTACTAACAACCCCTTACTTACTAACAACTCCTTACTAACAACGCCTTACTCACTAACAACTCCTTACTTACTAACAACTCCTTACTTACTAACAACTCCTTACTAACAACTCCTTACTTACTAACAACTCCTTGCTTACTAACAACTCCTTACTTATTAACAACTCCTTACTTACTAACAAGTCCTTACCAACAACTCCTTACTCACTAACAAGTCCTTACTTACTAACAAGTCCTTACCAACAAATCCTTACTTACTGACAACTCCTTACTTACTAACAACTCCTTACTTACTAACAACTCCTTACTTGCAACTCCTTACTTACTAACAACTCCTTACTAACTCCTTACTTACTAACAACTCCTTACCTACTAACAACTCCTTACTTACTGACAACTCCTTGCTTACTAACAACTCCTTACTTACAACTCCTTACTAACTCCTTACTTACTAACAACTCCTAACTCGCTAACAACTCCTTACTTACTAACAACTCCTTACTAACAACTCCTTACTTACTAACAACTCCTTACAAACTCCTTACTTACTAACAACTCCTTACTTACTAACAACTCCTTACCTACTAACAACTCCTTACTAACAACTCCTTACTTACTAACAACTCCTTACTAACTCCTTACTTACTAACAACTCCTTACTTACTGACAACTCCTTACTTACTAACAACTCCTTACTTACAACGCCTTACTTACTAACAACTCCTTACTAACTCCCTACTTACTAACAACTCCTAACTCGCTAACAACTCCTTACTAACTCCTTACTTATTAACAACTCCTTACTTACTAACAACTCCTTACTTACTAACAACTCCTTACTAACAACTCCTTACTTACTAACAACTCCTTACTTACTAACAACTCCTTACTAACTCCTTACTTACTAACAACTCCTTACTTACCAACAACTCCTTACCTACTAACAACTCCTTACTAACAACACCTTACTAACAACTCCTTACTTACTAACAACCCCTTACTTGCTAACAACTCCTTACTAACAACGCCTTACTCACTAACAACTCCTTACTTACTAACAACTCCTTACTTACTAACAACTCCTTACTAACAACTCCTTACTTACTAA